GTGCGTCTGAGATCACTATTAACTTATCGATCTGGGACTACATTTTCTAATGATCAAGTGTAGAAGTGTATTCATCCCGACAGTCATTACGAGTGGAAAGCAGATCGAGTGTCTCAGAAGTGCATGCAAACGAAGGTCGGGATACGCATTGCAGCCTACTTAGAACTCTCGTCTTCACGATCCATGGATGCGTCAAGTGAACTATGACTGCGAAACTATTTTGTCCGAAAACACATTTTATTATTCATAATTCCTTGCAATCGTTTGGCGATAGAATATTTTGAGAACAGTAAATATGGACATTGTTCAAGTTCCTCGTGTGTTTTCCATGATGTGGTTTGACTTCTATTCGACAATGGAGATACTGCATTGGTGTCATACTATGGGCAAAACCAATCAAGATACTTTTATCGTAATAAAAGTAGACATTTCCAGCATTTGCATGGGAGCGGACTAATGCCAGATTGCCCATGCTGAAGCAGATGAATGTTCTAGAGCACGTACAAACGCATCGTTGACTTAGTCAAAGCTTGATGCGTAATGTTGAGGTGTGTGATGGTGTCGGTGAAACAACGCACGTTGCGTGTGCGCGCCTGCACACATTTCCGTGCCGTACTCTCTCCCTATTCATCCACGAATATGAACACACCGTGAGCTCGGATTAGTTGTCATTTCGCATTCCATCTCCACTATTCTCACGAATCACCCGGAATTGTTGATGAACAAAGACGTGTGGCCAAATCGGATAACATAGGCGTGCGATCTTTGTGCGTGATAATTAAGAACTGAGTATAAGGTATGTGAGATGATCAAGAAACGTAAGAAACGCAACAAACTTATTTATAACCATTGTGTCGTGACAACCTTTCGCCGTAGATTGCTTGCTATAATATAATTTCCTGCCCTAATTGCGTCTCAAACTTTGAAGGTGATTTGCACAAGGTGATGATCATCAACCATGTTTACTATGTTTGAGGAAAAAGATATGATAGTTAAGTTCATCAAACGAACCTCAGAGGTGAAATCTATGAGGTTTGAGTTTAAGCTATGGTCAGACCCATGATATATTAATGGACCCAAAGTTTAACTTGCATCAATGAAAAAGAAAGGCTTTTGTGAACTTGGATCCACAAATGGGCAAAACCTGTGCATTCCGATATACATGGTTTCTATTTTGATTGAAAAGATTGTGGTTTTCATCTCAAGTCCCGTCAGTGCTTCCTAGTTGAACTGTCGAGGTTAATCCCACATGAATAACCTGGTGAGAAATGCAAACTGAAGAAATTCGCGAACAGCACATTGAAACAGATAATATAGTTTATGTTTGGAAAAAGCGGGACCAGATTGTAGACCTTAACAACAGAGTAGTGCAATTATATGCGGAGGAGTTACTCTCATCATGTGACCAGCATGAGAGAAATAATCGTGAATTCCCATAAGATTATCAACAATTATGAGGATGTGCAAAAGGAGACATGAGGATTTTTATTGGTAGAATGCTAGATCTCAGCAAACTGGGGAACTGAATATTCACAGACCCATGAACTCTGATGAAAATATGACATGGTTGTTTACAATTATAAAATCCCGCCTCACGTCTCGTGAGTACTGCTAACTTTAAACTCTGATCACGAGTAACATAATTCCATTATGAGCAAATGCGTCATAAAACGATTCTCTCGCGATCTGCAGCCGAGAAGGATACATTCGAAGAGGACATGTCACGGGATATCGTACCAAGTAAGGTATCAGTTTCCAAAAATTATCCACCAGTGATAATGACAGAAATTTTGGACTGTCCACGAGAGAAAAATGCAATGTGGTGGTTCAATTTTAGGCCTCTAATCTTTTGAAATGAGCAGGAGTTATATTCGCCCTGGTCTCATCAGGGTACCTCCTAATTGCGATCGGTTCGAAAAGTAGCAAAAATACCGTAGATAAATGTTTGCATTTCGAAGACGACATGTTTCTCACAACTGCCCCTGGATGGTAAACTAGATCAACTGCTTCTCATGTTGAAAATCGCATGGTTTTATCAATATGTTTTCGAACTTGGTAGTAAGTGTTGCTCCTATTCCTTCCTAGAAAAATATTGCGGTTTGTGGTGGACTGATACAATAATGAATCAGATTAGAATAAGGCTAGATGTTACGTGGAATAGACGAGGAGAGATGCTATCCAACACACATTTATCCAGCACAGACCTTTGTAGAATGGCCCAGTTCACCGCTAAGCGAGTCTCTTGGTCGTGTACAGGGTGACGTCCGCCATTTTGCAGAAACGCGTTTTCTTCGTCCTTGATACTCCTTGAAACAACCAACAGTGAACGTCCACACTCCGATGTGTTTAGGAAAATGCGATAATTTTTTATACCCATAAAACTTGCAATCAAAATCTATTATCCGATCGACGTCCCCGTCAATTGTATCTGTGACGTTCAAATCAATTCAAGTCAAGGAATGGCTTTGTATACTCCAAACGTGGATATTCATCAACCACATAGGCATAGTTTATCAACATAAAGTGAAAAAAAAAACAACAGTATGATACATCAATAAAAGAACGTGAATAAAAGGACGGTAACATAAACAATCAATGGCATACGCGGGTGTTTAGAATAGATTTAGTTTAACGTTTGGAGCAAACTTCCTGCAACGAGTTCATGGTTTGTTAGAAATCTGCGGAGATAAGGGACAATAGACCGCCTATAAGCTTCAATGCCTGTCAGCATAAGTTTGTGAGTGGAACGGGTGGATGAGTGAGAAAGACACTGGCTAAGGGCGGATTAAAGAGGATGGGAGATATTAGATAAAATCTTATTGTAGAATGTTTTACAAGACTTGATGTGATGCGTTACTACATACTGTACTAGATGTTCCCTTAGTATGAGACTACAAACCGACAGAAATTTGAGGGATCGGGAACTGCTTTTGAGGTCCTTGTTAAAAAGACCGGGCAAGATAACAAAGGACCCATAAACCCAGTGAAGCCAAACGCACGAAAAAACAAAACGCCTTATGAGATGCTATGGAATGGAAAGTGATTTATGACGTAAAACATAAAATGTGAGCCCCTGACCTCCAGGAAAAAGTCATTGACGTGATCAGATCAGGTGAGGTTACGATTGAAAATAATGCCCCGGTATTCGACAGGCGGTTATTGTTCCATCTGGTCACTGAGGATAGATAAAGGCGGGCTGGCGTTTGATAATTCATCATAATTTTGACCTTTCAAAACAGAAAAATAATACGTCGTTACATATTTTGAGGTTCTTGCGGAGGTTCCTTTGATGTGACCACTCAACTACTTTATTCAGACACGTCTTCTTGTAGAATCGTTTGAAATGATTAGTTTGGGTAGGGCAGTCCGAATATTATATCGTCTGCATACCTGATAAGAAGAATTGCTCACAGGCATGGAGGAAATGTAAGCAGAAAATAGAAAAGGGGATGAAATAGCGCCTTGTAGTACGCCTTTTGAGGATGGCAGCAATGAAGATGTACGACCTTTATAGCGTGTGAACTGCTGACGGTTGGAGAAATAGTTGGCCAAGAGTTCAATCTTAGAAGGTTGAACTCAGCCCGAAGGGAGGGTATTTAATAAATGTTGTCGATCAATGGTGTTGAAAGTATCACCGTAGTCAAGAGAACATATGCGTACAGCCTTGCTTTTCGTATCCAGGTTGGATAAAACATAGTGGAACAGATAAGCAAGGGCATCCAGGGTACCATGGGAATGGGTATATGCAAACTGGTTTGGGCCAACAACATTGAATTGTACGGACAGGGTCTATTTCCACTGCAGTAGTTGAGCGGTGTGAGGGTTTGATGCCAGAAATCTGCATGAGGGCTTGTCAGGTCTCACGACTACCTTTGTTGCCCAGCCGAGCAAGGGCGTATAAAGAAGTTCAGCCCGGATGGATTTAGAACAGGAGTTTAGCTTGAGCTCTTCCTGGGATCCTGAAATTGCAGCTTTTTAGCTTGTTGGAGTTGAAAAATTCACAAACTCAGCTTTGTACAATCGAACTTGCTTTACGGTATTTGACGAGGCTCTAGTATAATGCATGGGATATCATGATGCATCCGGAATAATAACCTAACATTCTGCGAGTCTGACGAACATAATAAACGCTGATGTTTAAGGAGGTATGGAAAGAGACCATTGTAAGGAGCAAAGTTTTCAACGTATGTCTTATACGGTTGCCATTCATGGATGGTTTTAGTCGAGTACTAGACGTGTGATTAGGTTGAAAAGGTTGTTTTTATTCCAGGGTCATAACTCCTCTTAACCGACGGTATTCAGATAAATAAATTCCGAGAGTAAGCACTCATTCAAAGTACGCTTCCGACTTTGAACCCTTTGAAAATGTTTTGGTTTCTATTATGTGCGGACGTTAGAGTACAATTTCGTCGAGGAAACGTCAAGGATCCCAAGCCTGCATTGTATACTCTATGTGTAGTATAATGCCTACTGAAATCAAACGGGGCAATAGATATACTTCAACTGATCTAAAACACGTTTAACTATTCCGACGTGCTCTCTGAACTTTGATGACGCTCTGACGGAATTTGCGGAACATCCTAGATCCTCATGAGCAGTAACTGTTAGATCCGTTTCGGTTATACCAAGTGCCAATGGTGATCCATGTGACGCAACGATACAACATTACATTTGCCAACGTTTAGTTTGATGTCATAAATGATAGACCATCGATAGGATGCGTTGAGAGTTGCCTGCTGGATTTCATAATCTTCATTATGTTGCACCGACCGTGGTGCTTTGGAGTCTTCAGTGAGAAGTATTGTCTCTTCTCTAAGCACAGCTGGTAGGTCGCCTAACATTGCTGGGAAAAGAGGACGGGCAAGTAAGGATCTATGTGAAACTCCATGGATAGCCTCAATCGGCACCTATAGAGAAGCATTAATGTTCAATATTCTTCAATTAGAGGCAGAGGGTAACTTCCCGTATGAGCCTCATCACCACAGACTCCAAGATCTCATTCATGATAGATCTGCATACCACATTGTGCGCAGGACGCTGTCGAGCTTCCTCTTGAACATCTTATCATTGACCTCTTCCATCACGTCAGCTGGAAGGGAGTTCCAAAGGTTGGTTACCCTTCGCGATAGCCGAAACCGAAGAGGTAATCCTACGGACGAAAGCTTCAACAGCGTAAGTCCATGTCCACGAGTCCTGGTCTGCTCGCGCAGAGGTAAATACTCCATGAACTCTGAACCCATGTCACCGTGAAGAATGCGTCGCACACAGATGATATCACCCCGTACTCGGCGATATGACTCCGGAAACAATCCAGTCGCATGCAATCGTTCGGTGTAGCAACACCAGCGTAACCCGTCAATCATACGGGTGGCAGCTCGTTGGACTCTCTCCAGTTTCACCATTTCAGCAGTTGTATAGGGATATGCCGCGGCACTCGCGAACTCCAAGCGAGGTCTGACNACCCCGTACTCGGCGATAGGACTCCGGAAACAATCCAGTCGCATGCAATCCTTCGGTGTAGCAACACCCGCGTAACCCGGCAATCATACGGGTGGCAGCTC